TGGAACATGATTTTCACTTGCTTCTAAGATACTGACTTGCTTAGTTTTGCTTCTACCTTGCAGTCTGCCTTCTCAGTCACCTTTGCTGCTTCCTCCTCCTTCCTTCTGACTTCATAGTGTCCTTTTGCTGATTCTCCCCCTGGAGAGCCCGAGACCTAGTTCCCGTGACCCTCTTTATCTACATATCTTCCCTGTCTCATCCAGTGTTGCAGCTTTAGATACCATTTCTCTGCTGATCATTGAACAAATCCATGTCTTCAGCTCAGACTCTTCCCCTAAACTCCAGACTCCTATATCTGTTTACTGGACTTTTTTTTTTTTTTTTTTTTTTTTTTACGGATCTTTATTTTTATTTATTTGTATGTGGTGCTGAGAATCGAGCCCAGTGCTTCATGAATGCTAGACAAGCACACTATCACTTAGCCACAACCCCAGCCCTGGACAGTACTTTTTAATAAACCTCTCAACTTTAACATATCTAAAACTGCTATTTTTCCCTTCCTAATGTGTTCTACTCAAATCTTCCCCATCTCATTGGATGGCATTTCTCTTTTAAGCTGTTCAGGCTAAAAGTAGATTATTCTGAACCCATGTCTCTCTCCTCCCACATTAAATTCACTAGCAAGTTACTTTTTGTCTTATCTTCAAAATATGTTTAAAAATCTGACCAATTTTCACTGTCTCCATTGATTCAGATCTCTATCTCTTAGCTGGATTTTTCAGTAGTATTTGAAGTATTTTCTTGGCTTTTAGCCCCTCAACCAAAATTCTAGTCAGCAGCCTGGGAGAATATATAAAATAATAATGTAGATCATATTTTTCTTCTGTTTGACTACTATCAGAGAAAATGTGACTGCTTAGATTGTATCCTTTTGGCTACTCACTCTTATCCTATTGTGAAAGCTAATCTAGCTCTCAATTTATGAGATTAAAAATAATAACATGCCAAAAAATCAGAAGTTAAAATGTAGACCAGACTTTAGGGCTATGGAATTAAGAACATACCTGGAGTCCGAAGGTTGGTACATCAGTTCAACCTTCAAAGACTATGTATGTGGTCAGCAGAGATAATAAGAAGTGAAAGCCAAGAACAAGTTCATTAAAATCAACCCAGTGAGAGAGGATAATAGTTTGTTCTGTTCTGAGAATAATATTGGAGACTCTCTCAGATGGTAAGGAGCAAATTCAGGTGTTAAGGGGCAAATGCATGCATAAGATGGTCACTAAAGTAACCTGTAGTTACCTTTATTAGCATAGTAAAAATCACACCCCCAAGTAGAAATCACACTCCCAGGTAGAGACTTAAGATGGTACTGAGACACATGGAGAAACATGTAGAAGAGCACAGATGCAACTAAAACTCAACTTCTACCTGTGACATCAGCAAGAAACCAGGTTTCTGCCTACCCCTATATGCCATAAAAGCTGTGTACCATTTTCCTTCATTTGAACCAGTCTGAGATTGATCTCCCCACATAAGATTGATCTCCCCACATTAGTTCCTGTGCTAATGTGACTTTATCTGGTTGTTCTGGTAGAGAGCCCAAGAACCCATGGGAGTCCATAACCCATAAGTCAAATCTCTAATATTGCTCTTATTGTCTGTGCTATGGCCACACTGGCCCACAGGATTCCAGGTCCTTCACACTGCCAATTCTGCCATTTCAGAATTATGGCTCGCTCTCTCAGCTCATGTAAAACTTGCTCAAATGCCAATTTCCCAATGAAATTGTGACTGCCCTTCCAAACTGCTCACTGTTTCCCCTCCCCAATCTTGATCTCTTTCTCATCTGGATTTCTTTTCAGATGTTCTGACATATTGTGTTCTTAAGTTTGTTGCCTTCTCTTCACCTGTTAGAAGATAACCTTCCTAAGGGCAGGATGAATTTAATTGTTTATTGACATCCTCAGCTTCTAGAACAAAACCTCACACACAGTAGAAAATCAATAAATTTTTCTAAAATGAATTAATCTAATTAAACAGCCATGAATTGTTTGTGTGATTTACTGTGGCTTGTCCCAGGGGCACTGTACCACTGAAAACTATATTTCTAACCCTTTTTATTTTTAATTTTGAGATAGGGCCATGCTAAGTTCCTGAGGCTGGCCTTGAATTTTCGATCCTTCTGTCTCAGCCTCCCAGGTCGCTGGGATTATGGGCATATGCTACCATACTTGGTTTTGATCCATTTTTAATGGGAAAGATTGTGGTCGGAGAATGTCTGTGTTGCAGACACAGTAAATAACATGAACTGTTATAGCTATTGGCTTCTAGAGATTTTATTAAAATGATGTACAGTCTTATCAGCTGTTAATTTAGTAATGAGACAGTTGGGACTCAATTTACTGTTTTAGTAGGTGTTGTGACAGCACTGTTTATTTCAAGGGTACCTTATCTGTCTCTTTGCCAGGGATCATCCTAAAACATGGTAAAGTCAGAACTGAGTAGAGGAAAGCAGGTCTGGGCAGGAAGCCAGCAAGAAGTAAGAGCAAACTAGTCATGTGGTTTTCCATGGGAGGAAGGGAAGAGGGGCAGTCAGGCATAGGGCTGGATGATCATGTAACAGCTGAAAGAAAACTTTTTTTAATCAGCCAATCAGATATGGGATAGATGTTGAGTTTGTGATGTGAATTGGAAAACTAAAAGGCTAAAGGAAAATAAGACACAATAATAAAAGTAGTAGCTAATCCCCTTCTAACCAAGGACTAGGGAAAGCTATGTGTGAGTGTGAATGTGTGTATGTGTGTGGAGGAGGCGAGGTGGGGGGAAGGTGGCTACACATACTAAAAATGGTAAAATTCATCTCAGTCTTTTCTGGGAGCCCTGACAGAAGCTGAGGGCATGATTAAAACCACTTGCTAATAAATAATATTGGGGGAAGCTAAGAAGTTGCTGACATTGTAGTGGTAGAGAAACAAGATTCTGAGCTATTAATTCATAAATCAATGTAGAAGACCTTCAATCTAAGGTCCCCAAAATATAAAACTTAATCTTATACCAAGGCAAAGTTTACTTATGATAGATCTGCACCAACTCTGTATAATCATTTTATAAGTGTCCTGTTTAGTTTTATAAGAACTTTGTGCATGCTAATTGGTTGTCATGGAAACCTACCTTGAAACCCGCTATTGTAATCTATACTTGGCTTGAAGTGTATGTTAAGTGGCTTAAAGTCCCTTGTGAGGCAGAAAAGCATCATGACTCTTGTTGCTTCTCAAGTCAGGGCTCTAACAGGTTCATTTATAGAAGCAAGGCAGATGTGGAATTATGTTTTCCCTAACCAAATACACTGCCTGCCTTGCCAGTGCTTGACGTTCATTGATGGGCTCTCAAGTTCATGAAAGAAAGAGAAATCAGAGGCAGAAGTTCTAAGGATATGCTAGACTCCCCCACAGATTCTTATGATTTGAGCAGAAATGGAAGGCTGCTACTTTTAATTATTCTTGCATAGTTACTGGCCATTGTAAACCTGTGATTAATTCTACAGTACTTATGCAAAGGAGGGATACAAAGCCCTTTAAAGTTCCCTGAACTTTAGGCAGCTGGAAAATTCTGGCATTGGTGTCACTATTATAATCCCGAGTAGGTTTGTGGAAGAATAATGTTTACTCTCAATCCTTAAATATATATAATCAGCCTGTTATCTCTCTGAATTAAACACTATCTATCATCATATCTTTTTTTTTAACAAGGGCTGACTTATAAAATAAGGAATAGACTAGATATATCATCTCAAGCACATACAATATTAGTTGCTTTTAAATCAAAAGTTTGAGAATTCCTGAGCAATATCATTCCACCTTAAGCTAAGGAATAGTCATGACTTTCTTCTAGGCTCTCTATCCAAAGCTCTTTTATAATAACCTCCTTGACATTGCCCCCACCCCTTCCTACCTTCCACGATTTCATTTAGAATCTTCAGGATTCTTAGGCCCTTTGAGAAAAAGGGTAAAGAAGTTAAGAGATGAGGATTTCCTTGGATAAAGAGTTACTGTATGGATATATTTACATAAATAAGGTTTTGTATAATAGCTATAAATTTATAAGTTTTAAATTTTGAATGAATATTAAATGTTTATAAAACATAACTAAATCATAAAAAGTTATATACAGAACACTGGTCTACATATGCCCTATTAAGAACATGACCAATATCTAAGCTAAATCCCATTCCTGTTCTTCCTCCATAGAAGAACTTATATTTTATATTTATGTTTATAATTTCCTTGATTTTTTTATAGTATTCAGTACATATATTGTAACCCTCACAATATATTGTTTGGTTTTGCAAGACTGACGGAGAAAAGCAAAAGTGAGTTTATTTCCCTTCATTTTTAACATTGTGGTTAAAGTGGGGTAGGTGTCCAATTAGATTACCCTTCTCAGGAGACCTGTGGCAGAAAGCTGTGGACACTGAAGCTGTCACATTCCTTAGGTCTAATGATTGCCCTTATGGCAAAGCTGGCTTCAGGCCTCTGCTTACCTTGTTTGCAAAGTTCTCTCCTACTTTTATTTTGCTTTCAGCTCCTTATGATTCCTTACTTGCTTCAAAATTCATCAGTGCTATTAAAAATACTTTATTTTCGTATTTTTCATCACTTTGGCAGTGTTTATTCAAATACTCTTTCTGAGAATTTGGCTGTCCTTCTGGAAATGGAAGACTCTATATTTCACTCACTGGTTTTACAACATTCACACTGTTTTCCTGTGCTTTATTTTCATATACACACAGCTATATGATCCTGGAAGCAACTCCTTTTGATTGTCTGCCAATTACCGTTTTTCACTTAATGTTTTTGGCCGCTCTCTTTAAATGACTGCATAGTAATTTGACAAAAAGTATGTAAACAGCTGATTACATTACTTGACTTGTTGGAACTTATTCTTCTCATTGGAATGCACCTGGGTATGAAGTAATATAAATACATTTAAGAATTAAATGATAATTTTGTTTAGAGTTCATACACGTGTGTGCATTTATGTGTATATTTTCTTCTAGGCTGTTGCACTGAATAGTAATAAGGATTCCAGACAGAATTTTTTGCGACTGTTTAATGGATGTGTTTACAGTGGTGTGGAAACTTTGGGGAAGGAGCTCTTTATGTACTTTGGCCCAAAAGCTTTACGGTAAGATAAACCTGTACAATACATCTTATCACTCTTATTTAAAGGATGTGTAGAAGGCTTTTCTTACAGTTTGCCAGGTGTCACATTTAATCATGTAGAAAGTACTCTATGTTTAAGAGAGCTCTAATGTAAGAGGTTGAGATTCTATCTTGGAAAGCAATAAGCAGAAGAAGAATAAATTGTGATGTCATCATTACTTGGAGGCTAGTCAATTTATTTCTTTTAAAAAAATGGATAGGCTAGCAGGGCTTCCCAAGATGCATTAGTGCAGCACATCTCTGTTTTTCTATTCTCCAAATTCCCTGCACTGCTATCTACCTTCTTGTCATCAAATGTTCATTGCATTCAGTAGCATCAGTTATTTTATATTTGTGACAGGCACTACTTTGGCTTAAATGTATCACTATATTTTTTTTATTTTTCTGTCTTCCTTCTTTTTCTGAAACCTTCAACAGAACTTGGGAACTTATTGAATTCAAAAACTTTCTCAGAAATAACAGGTTCTCCATTGTTTCAGAGTTCTTATGGAAATTCATAGCTACTGTGTTGGCAAAGGATAAGCAGTCTACTGCTTGATTAACTTAAAGATGATAAGTGACAAAATGTATGTAATTGCAATGCATGGTCACCTACTTAATTTTTGCAGGAAAATAAAAAAGGTCTATGAGTTAATGTCTATTGAATCTAAGTCTGTCTTTTCTGGATTTAGCCTAAGCTATTGCAAACTATAAAGATGGGTCCTGCTTCCTTAAATCCTCTTTAGTGTTTTTTTTTTAAGGTATTGAACTGTTATCACCTTCTCTAAAGAAAAGAGTTGTTATTAGACCCTGTACTTTTAACTGAAGGTGAATAAAGCTTACAAAGAGATGGTGTGACTCTATGATTGTTATTTATTGCATCTCATCTACCACATATTTAGAGTACTTCAGGTTTATGTAATTGCTTTTCCTTTGAGGTGTTCTCTCTTCGTTGTCAGCAGCTGCTGTCCTTGGACAACATTGTCACTTCATAGTTTTTCTTAGTCTGGGATTGATAACATCAGCATATACCTACTGGTTCATGCAGTAATGATATATTGCAGGTTACATTACTGCTGTTGTAGATTGATGTGATTGAAAACCCTTAGCTCTGGACAGAGTAGGACACAATGGAATCCAAGCACCATAGTTGAAAACATTGATATGTTATTGATTCTCTGATGGTAGGTGCAGATTTATTTCTGTAAGATGAAAAGGAGGTTTTATCAAGTGTTCTCCACCAGACTGATAAGGAAGGAATCATTTCTCAGTGCAGAGCTGTCAGTAAGTGTCCCATGAAGTTCCAAACAAGGGCAATCACTTCCTCAAACTACATGAACGGAGTACCATCCCTGGAGAGTACCTATCTCCAGATGAAGATAGAAAGAGAATGCAATGGTTTGCTTCTGGTTTCTTGCAACCTTAACAGCTATTTTATGTAACAATTCAAGGTCAGTGGCAGATCAGCTGTTGGAATCTAAACTCAACAATATAAAATCAGCTGAATCCCCTTTCACAGCATAACATAAGCTTAAAACCTGTGCTCCCAACCTATGTTTCTTAGGTGAATGGATGACTGTCAAATAAATGTGATCCTTTTATGAGGCTGCAGGTCTGTGAGCCTGACATAGAAATTTAGTGTTCATTTATTACTTATTTTCTACCCAGAACACTGGTCTGCATTTTAGAGAGCATGTAGCAGGAAACATGCTTACAGATTTCTTACAGTTTTCCCTTAATATCAAACTATTCATGATGAAAATTGCCCATGGATTTTAATCATAAGACATGTGTATTTCACTGTGCAGGCTGTGAATCCTCTGGGATTCATTTGTTTATAAAGTAGAATACAGGTGCAGTCCACTCTAAGGAAATCTGTCATGTAAAAATCTATACTTCAGAAAAATACAAATTAGAATGTGATTGCTTCTGTTAACAGATGAGGTATCTAAGTATTCATAATAGTGCCATAGAATACTAAAAATTATTTTATACACATTTATTTTATAGGCACAGTTGTAGTGTTAATAGTGTCTATACTTTTTTGGGGATGAGGGTAGGTACCAGGGACTGAACTCAGGGGCGCTTAACCACTGACTAGCTTAGTGCCTCGCCATTGCTGAGGCCGGATTTGAACTCTACGCCCACCTGCCGCAGCTTCCCAAGCTGCTGAGATTACAGGCATACACCACCGCACTCGGCTTTCCTGTTTTTGAACAGTAACTCTTCAGCTAAAGCAAGGCAAAAATCATTTTCAATTTTTTGTTATAAACATAACAAATACTAGAACAAACTGAAAAAGTATACAATAATGCATTCAGGATTCCACTGCCAAATATAATCTTTATTGACTTTGGGCACATATATTGCCAATACAATGAACATATATCTATCTATATGTCTACTCATCTAGACCTACCAACTCTGCAAGCTGTTATTTTCTTTTTGTTTTAGAGAGAGAGAGAGAATTTATTATTTATTTTTTAGTTTTTCGGCGGACACAACATCTTTGTATGTGGTGCTGAGGATCGAACTTGGGCCACACGCATGTAAGGCAAGTGCGCTACCGCTTGAGCCACATCCCCAGCCCAACAAGTTGTTATTTTTCAATCAAAATGGATACAGCTGTTACATTTTGGCCTATTATTTTATAAGATATTTTTAATGAATATCTCTCCAAAATACTTTTGTAATTTTATGATTTATAATGGATTATAATTTAGTATTCATACTCAAACCAGAAGCTATACCTGAAATATTTTGTAGGCTTTGCCATTCTAGAAAAACTTTTACTTAATCTCTTTTATAGTTCACTGAAGTTTAAATGGTAGGAACCTTTAATATGATATGCAAGAGATGGTACAACAATTCTTAGTTTGCTAAGATGTCTTTATGAGACCTATCATAAACTAATTATAAAAGGGTTTTACAGCTTAGATATAATTTTTTGTAATCTGTTAAATAACTTTTTAGGAAGGACTGAAGTGTGATAAAGATTCTAAATTAAATACTTTAGGGTAATAAATACCTTCTGTGTGCCACTTGTACACTTTGCCTATTCTCAGGGGTTTTTTTATGGTTGTCCTTTATTAGATTGGAAAAGTTTCCTTTTATTTCTGCTTTGTTGAAACTTTAAATCATGAATGAATATTACATTTTTTTCAAGTATTTTTTCTGCATCTATTATGATCAGTACATGGCTGTTCTTATTTATTTCTATGGCATTTCAGTCAGCTTTTTCACCATTGTGACTAAAAGATCTGACCAGAATAATTGTAGAGGAGGAAAAGTTTGAGGGCTCATAGTTTCAAAGGTCTCAATCCACAGACAGCAGACTTCATTCCTTAGAGTTCAAGATGAGGCTGAACATCATGGCAGAAAATTATGGTAGAGGGAAGCAACTCATATGGTGATCAGGAAGCAGAGAGAGAGTCTCCACTCTTCAGATACAAAATATATCCCCCATAGCCACACTCCTAATGAACCACTTCCTCCAGCCAAACCCCACATACCTCCAGTTACCACTCAGTTAATCTCATTAGGGATTAATTCACTGATTAGGTTAAGGCTATAACCCAATCATTTCTCCTCTGAACCTTCTTGAATTGTTTCACACAAGAGCTTTTGGGGAACACCTCACATCCAAACTGTAATATATGCTGAATTAAACTGTTTGATTTTTGAATTTTAAATGACTTGCATTCTCAGGACACATTCTACCTTTGTATGATATATTACCCTTTCTATATTTTGCTGGATTTATTTTATTGAGGACTTTTGCAGTTGTCTTCATGAGCAATATTGGCCTGTGGATTTATTTTCTTCTCAGTATCTTTGTCTAATTTTGACATTATGATAATGCTGGTCTCCAAATGAATTGGGAATTTTCCCCTCCTGATTTTCTCAAAGAGCACGTGGAGATCTAATATTGGTACAGTATTAAATGTTCTAATGTATTTGGAGGCCCAGGAAGAAAACAGAAGAAGTAATGACCAAGAATTGTACAGAATTAATGAAGATGTGGAACAAGGTCAAATGGTCTAACATACTTTTAACTAGAATTGCAAAAGAAAGAAATAATTGGGCAGAAGACATCTTTTGAAGAGTTCAGTGACCTGAAATTTTCCTTATCCAATCCTGGACTCAAAAACTCAAAAGAACTTCAAATAAAAACAAATATCTCTCACATATACCCAACCAACGTGCTAAAAACCAAAGATCAAAAGAAATCCAGGAAGCAACCAGATAAAAATAAACATCATATACAAAAGAACAAAGTTAAAAAATACATTAGACTTCTCATCAGAAACTCCGCAAGACAGAACAACCTCTTTAAATTGCCGAATAGACAATAAGCCTTTCAACTGAGAATTCTAAGCCCACTGAAAATATCTGTTAAGAATGAAGGTACAATAAAAACTTTCAAACAGACAGACAGACAGACACACACACACACACACACACACACCCCAAAATAAAGAAAGATAAGAGAATCCAACACCAGCAGACCTGCAACACAGAAAAGTAAAAGGAAGTCTATCTCACATAAAGAATGTAGTCGTGGGTTGAATTTGAATCCACAGAAAGCAAAAGGGAAATTGGAAACTTTGGAGTAAACATTAATGATATTTTTCATGTCTAAAGAATACCTGTCTTTTTGTTTGGATAATTTCTGTTCATCTATTTTCAAGTTTGTGTGTTTTCCTCTGCTGTGTGAAGTCTGCTGATCTGCTCCTTGAAGGAATTCTGTTTTTTATTTCTCTGACAGGAATTTCTCATCTCTTCATGTGCCTTTATACTAGATCATCTCATATATTAGTCACTAATATATTAATGACTGATGTATAAAATAGGATTGTCTATAATGCATATCTTAATTTAAATTTAATGTTACTCTTTCACTACATGTCTCATAGTTCCAACATTTGGGACATTTTTTAATCTATTTCCAGTGACTGTGTTATCTCTTGATATTGGAGTTTTCAGAGTGTGCATGTGGTATAGACATATATGTATTCTTTGAATCCCAGATAGGATGTATAGAAAAACAAGAGCAGAATCCCAGAAATTACTTCTAGGAGAGACTAAATCCCAGAATGCTTCTTCTGTCAGCTCATTAGTTTGGGAAACTGAGTGGATCTCCTAAGGAATTGGTGGAACTTGGTTTGGGTTTTGGTGGGCTGTCGTTGCCTCCTGAAGTTCACCAAGGACTTCAAAGCTCCAGCTGCTTCTGCTGCTCAGTGCGTTGTTTCTCTGCATTTCTGCTCTGCTCCCATCTCTCAACAGATCCTGCATATTCCTGTCACGTGGGGAGTCTCTCTACTCTTGCCACTTCCTTAGTGGAGACCACTGTTGATTGTTACTCAGTGAGAGGCTCATGGTTGTGACCATGGAGGTTCTTATTTCTTCCGGATGAGCATGAGTCTTGGTCAGGTCCTGTACATGTGTGTGTAAGGGTTGCAGTTTTCTAGTAGTTACTGTCCCTTTTCTCACAAACTCTACCTTACCTCTGTGTGTGTTCTTGGGTCCTAGGGTTTCCTACCTCTTTCTCAGTGGAAGAAGATTTTTCTTCAATAATTGCAAGATTCTGTGCCAATACTGATTTCCTGTCTCGCCCCTAAGGACAGGTGGCTTTTGCTGGCCCCTCACTCTCACCAGAGAATCATCTTTGCCTGGGCCAGGTTGCAGGAGTTTCCTACTCTGCCCCTTTGCAGACTGCTGAAACTTGTAAAATCAGTGTAAACTGATTATATGAGCAGTGGAGATGTCCTAGCAGCTTTCTCTTTCTACCTCTCCTTTTGCTACAGCAGCTTAAGACTTTCTGAGACTTTGTATTAGAGAAGTGTTCAAGAAGCAGACAGAGCTTCATAAAGACAGGTGTCATGCCACAAAAGGCAGCTCTTTCAGGTCTCCTTCCCTGACTCTTCCTCCTCTTGCCCATCTCAGCAATGGATGCCATGAGTGCAGACTCTCTTGTGGGACTCGGGGATTCTGAACTGTCATGCTTGCTCACACCCAGTATGTTTCCTTACCCATTTTCAGGGTGGTCTTCTCTTCTTCCTATGTCCTGCCATAGATATAATAATTTGCGTTTTCTGACTTTCCTCACAATGGGACTTGTCATTTTGGAATTTTGCCTACCTGATTGACTTGAAACCTCATGTCGGTTATAGATTTTAGTAAATGTTTGGCTTTGTAAATAATGTAAGTTTTCCTCTCCATGTTTGGGTGGAGCTATGTTCACTTCTATATCCTAAATAAAAGTAAAACTCACTTTTTTCATCATCACATGCTTAAAACCCTATCTTTTTACAATCTTTTTAGAATGTTTACTACAGGTTTTATATGTTTATACTTAACATTCTTTATTAACTTTAGGACACTTCTGACCACTTGCTAATTTTACTAAGCAACTGCCTTATTTGCAAGGTGTGGTTGTTACATGAACTGTGACAGTGCTATTGTTTATACTGTTTTGTGTACTTCATAATGTTCAGACTATTCCGGTAATGATAGCCTAGAAGAGAGTGATGTTTGAAATAGGATCAGGGCTTATTTCTCAATTTGTTTTAGGAGGCTATTTCTAGCAGAGATTTTCTTACTATCATTTCAGTTTTAGTTTGGGCATGATTTTATGTTACAGCTTTGACTACACATGACAAAAATACAGTGCAAACAAGTTCGATAATTACTTATTGTAAGAATATGGAGTATCTATGAAAGCTGAAGATAATACAGATGGGTTGAGGGAGAACTAGAAGCAAAGACTGATCGCTATTAGGACTCTCTTCATTTCTTAGTCTGTTCCTCACTAAAATCTGTTGTAGACTTCCTCTCTGCTGACAGGTCTTCCTTGGCTTCTCTGCTACCCATTCCCACATGGAAACATTCCCACAGACAGCTCCCATCATAGCTTTTCCAAAACTAAGAAGAAACTGATCTCTATGTATCTAAAATCCATAAATTTCTCAAGAGAGCTGATGAATCCAGCTTAAGACAGGAGCTCATTACTTAATTGTATCAAAGTCACAGGATCAGAGGAAAGGCTAGAGACCAGTTCAGGTTTGGCCTAGAACCCACCGTTGGGCCAGACAACTGCAGTTGGTAGACAGAGTTACATTATGCAGTCTCCTGTGACCTTTGGATGGGATGAAGGAACAGCGAAGTTATGAGGATCTGGGAATATTTTTCTTAAGTATGTTAATTAAATATAGGAAATACTGAAAACCAAATGAAACTTAAAAATCTCATTGTTGTCGTGTGGACCTATGTACTGGTTTATAAAATCTAATATATCAGTTGTTAAAACAATGTAGATACTTACTATGTCTTGAAAATTTTCATGATACTGATATATTCTTAGTCTAAGATAAAAGGTAATTAACACAACACTAAACATAAAATTTGTTATCAGGGCTTCATTATTATAACATTTGGCTATTTAATAAAATAAAAATGTAAGATAAAAATAGTTATTTTATGCACATTTTTCCCTCAAATTGAACAGGTTTACAAGAAAAAGGCACATTTACTTTATTTACAGTTCTTATTGAGGCTTTTCGTGCATTTGAATTGGGTCTTAACCTTTGAAATTTTTGATGTGGATGTGGTTTCATTATGGAAAGTGATTTAGAATCCACTTTATGAGGCATGCAGCTGAAAAGATTTTAGATATGATGGCTTCTGGGCATGACAGTTGCACACCTTTCACTGGGGCTGAACCTCCATAAGCTAAATTATGGAGTACTTACAGGCACACATTTTTCCTGTCAAGAACTATGGGGCATGTAAAATGCATTTATGATTGATAGTAGGGCACACAGAGTTTAAAACCCACATTTTTAAAGTTAGACTGGTTAACCTTGTACAATACTATAACATGGTGCTTTGGAATTAGAAGCACAGAGCAGTAACATTTGCTGCCAAAAGAACCATATTTATTAACTCAACAAAGCTACAAGAAGATGGATTTGAAAGGCAGAACACAGTATTTCATCTTGAGAATCATTTTTGATCTTCATCATCAGAGGCCTCACAAAACACTTCTTTTTTTTTCTTATGTTACTGGACATGCTAATCAATCCTATAAAATCTGAAAGGTTATGAATTTTTCATCACTGCATTGTAACTTTAAAGTTAACCGTAAATATTTATAAATCCCTTCTTCCCAATACATGTAAAGGTAAAAGAAAATGAAAAGAATTGAAGACAATAGCATTTTCACTGTGTTCTCTCTCTCTCTCTCTCTTTCTCTCTCTCTCTCTCTCTCTCTCTCTCTCTCTCTCTCTTTCTCTGTCTCCTTTCTGTTGCTCTTTCTCTTTTCTTTGTATACGAGATTTTGCAAGAAATTGTTTCATTGCTCAGCGCAAAGCAATGGGAAAGAAAAATATCTTAAACTGTAAATCTTATTTTGCAGTAGGTAAACATTTCCAATCCACTGTGGCTAGAAATAAAGAATTTGAATGTTAGTGGCTTTGTAGAATTTATAAACACAAACTATTGACATTTTAAATTTAGCTTTATCTTAAGCCTTTGAATCAGAAAACACCAAGAGATGCTAGACTGTTCTATGAATAAAAGATATTTCATCTGATAAGAAGGACAGGGGTATGTTTTCTTGGGCTTATTGTTGGGACCTTGTTATTCTCTAGGAACTTATGTGTAGGTTGAAACACTGTCACATCTTCTAGCTTTATAAGGATACAAAGCTATAAGGAAAAAATATATAATATTAGTGACAATATTTTGCCCTTTAAAAGTGCCCATGATAACTAACATTTATTTTATTTTATTCCAAAAAACATGAAAGGGAAAGTTTGATGCATGATATATTTCTATTTAAAAATGGGTTTGACTTTGTTTCAGGATTCACTTTGGAATGAAAGGCTCCATCATGATTAATCCACTTGAGTGTAAAAGAAAAAATGGTGTTTCTCCTGTTTTTGAAGTGCAACTCACCAAAGATTTGATTTGTTTCTTTGACTCATCTGTAGAACTCAGGTAAAAAATAAAATAAAAATACTTACCTGCAAAACTGTGGAGCTTAGATTTGCGGTTTACTTTGGGACATAACCTGTGTTTTTAAGTAGTTTATATTTGATGAAACCTCATGATAAAGAAGGCTTCAAATAGAGTAAATTGTTAGGGTCTTCATTGTTCACCCAAATAACCCTTGTGCCATGATTATCATAAAGTGTTTATATCAAAGCTCATTTTTAAATGACACTGTAAAATTATAAGCCAGTCTTAATAATTAATGTGTTTTTTATTCCTTTCTATAGGAACTCAATGGAAAGCCAACAGAAAATAAGAATGATGGCAGAATTAGACATATGTTCACCTAAATTTAGTTTCTCAAGAGCAGAAAGTGAAGTTAAAAAACAGACAGGTCGGATGCTATGTGATGTGTTACTGGATCAAAGAGTGTTGCCCGGGGTAGGCAACATCATCAAAAATGAAGCACTCTTTGACAGTGGTCTTCATCCAGCGGTTAAAGTAAATTTTAAGTATTTTTAAAATTGCTTTTTTAAAAAAAAATACTATTAAGGAACCCATGTGGAACTCTTACACTTGGGTTGCAGTAGCACATTCTCCTCATACTTCAGGTGTCCTTCAAGTCTTGGGTCATGTCGAGTTCTCTTTGTAACCAAATCTGACCACCTCCTTAAAACTGCAGTATGCATCCCCTTCTTGTGCTTCACTCTCTCAATCTTCCTTAACTTGCTTTGCTTTTTATTTTTTCTTCACCATGTATTTCTCTTAAACACAATATATTTACTTATTACATTTATTATTCAACAAATCTGCCTTGTATTAACCAGAATGTAATCTCTGATAAGGACAAGTCTGCTTTGTTCAGGGATGTATCCATGCATCTAGGACACAGTTGTTGACATTTGATGGGCTTAAAGTGAATTTTGTAGGATATGTGAATCATTTAAGCTCACAACTTTCTTTTTCTATCTGGCATATTCAACACATACTCTACACATACTTATATATTCATACTTATATGTATTGGTGAAGATAGAAAATGTAGTTTCAGTAGAATGATAAGAATGGAATTCAGATGACAGGGACTAAGCAATGAGTGATCAGTGAGCAAGTGGAAACAAAATACAGAGTTCTTGTTTCTTCCAGTAGCTTAGATTAACATGAAGAGAAAAATATTAGACTGCTAGAAGGGAATACCAGGATAGGGATGGACCTAGTTTTTGTTTTTCTATATCTGGAGAGATTTGAACCTATTTCTAAATTGGGATAAAAAAGAACTGGCAGAGAGAAATGCTAAAACTATAGAAAAGAGGATGCTGGTCAATACTAGAGCAAGGTTGTGAAAGTTCAGAGAGATTGGAACTCAAACCTCTCACTTAGAAGTCAGAGAGATTGGAATGCATGTGTTTCAGTTTCCAGAGAAGAATTCTGCATTAGAACTTTATCCAGTTCTGCTACTACTTAAATTATTTGTAACTCTATTAATTAAATCATTTCTATCAACTGTTATTTTTACATAATAATTAATTCTGTTAACTAAACTATTTTATGTAAGTCCAAAGTCACCTTTTTGTTTTATGCAGATACATTCTAGATGGTTTGGTAAAATCCAAATCAGTAGGAATAGTTTTAAAAGAAACCAGGTAGTGATAATTTTAGATTAAGTTCTGTTTTTTGACACTAGGCACAAATTAGTTCAATGTGGCAATAATGAAAAAAATTTTAAGCAGAAGGAGCTGTTTTAAATCACACAGATCTCAATGGAAAATGTTAAGAACAAAGGGTATTGTGATGAACTGAGAATTTGCTTTTTATCTTACATCCAGCCAGGCATTCACTTAGTAAAAGTTCATTACCCATAATTCCTGTGGGTTTAAAACTTACTGGCATTTCTGAAGTTTAGTTATTCAGAATATAGACATAATTATTGAAATAGTACAGGTAAGCATACAAAGGTTTGTCTTAATATATTTTTAGATATGGTAAGGAGTAAATATTTTTAAAATGTATAAATTTTAAATTTAAAAAATGAGGAACATTTATAATACTTTTGGAAGATTATGTTGATTAGACAATTTTCATTTTTATAATCACTGATAATTTTTTTGTGTGTGTGTGTGTGTGTGTGCATATGTGTGTATTCAGGCACATACAACAAGAGTAAGGTATCAGAATTTCTTTTGGATTTACTATTGAAAGCACATGTACCAAATGAAAATTAATTCTGCATTGGTAACACTGAGATTAATGCCACTTTATCACACACAAAAAAAACATTCTCCAGTAAGGTCTATCTGAGTTATTCCATGTGTCAACGAGTACTTTGATATTAATGCATGTAAATATATTCATATCTTTTTAAAACCTATTATGACTTTGATGGTCACCTACTCCTATGCCTAGTTTTCCTTCCTCCTTTCTTTCTTTCTTTCTTTTAAATTTTTAGTTTTTTAAATCCAGCAAGGCTTTGCAAGTAGCTGAGAGAAAATGTTGGAACTTTGAAGATGTCTGATAAGAACATTCAATAAATACTTGAATTTTGAATTAAAACACATGGTACCACTATCAAGTAAAAATAAAGCTACAGTTTAGTGAATGACACTAAAAAGATATAATAAACAGAGTTCTAGAAGATATGCATATATTTTAAATCTATTTACAGTTCTTTCAAAGAACTATAAGTGTTTTTTCCCAATAGTGAATAAATTATGAAATTACACTCAATGATTTTTTCATTTTAAGGTTTGTCAGTTAACAGATCAACAGACCCATCACCTTGTGAAGATGACTCGAGACTTCAGCATTTTCTTTTACAGGGTAAGAGTTGAAACTTTCAGCTATGTAAAATGTCAATGGTTTCCCCTTTTGATTGCATCAGAAATGCTAAGGTTATATATAGCCACCTAGTGGTAAGAGTATAGAGATACAAAAAGGGAGAGAGACATTTTATGAGCCTAATTAATATTTTAAAATACTAGGTCAGAGGTCATTTTAAGTTTGTCTAACCATGATTATATTAAATTCTTCTAAGTTGGGAGCAGCTATGTTAGCTGTTAGTCTATGCATTGTGCATAGACTCTTTTGGATATGTGAAACAGAACATATAAAAAGATAGACTACTTTGTAGATGCTGGTTCATTATGGCAGGGAAGGCATGGGAAAACTGGAGGAACTGTGATTGGGCAAAGGGGGGTAGGCATGGGGGCCAGAAAGATGACAGAATGAAATGGACATGATTATCCTAGATACATGTGTGATTGTACATATAGTGTGATGCTACATTGTGTACAATCAGAGAAATGAAAAGTTGTGCTGCAATTGTGTACCATGAATCAAAATGCATTCTGCTGACATACATATGTATATATTTAGAATAAATTAATTAATTAAGAAAAAGATAGACTACTTTGGGTAAATAAACCTTAAGTGTAGTTTCTTTATCCGTAAAATAATATTTCTCTGTCTCCCACAAAAACTATTCCAGGAATGAAATAAGTACTTGCTAACATGTAAATTTTAAAAGTTAAATATATGAATACATAAAATTACATTTATTTTTCTTTTAACTTTTATTTATTTATTTATTTTTGGTAGTGCTGTAAAACAGGATCTGGTGTCTTTAAACACTGCAAGGTTTACAGGCGTCCTAATTGTGGTCATTGCCACTGCAAAATAATTGTATGTCGCTTCGGGGAGAATAACAGAATTACATATTTCTGTCCTCAATGTCAAAAAGAAAATCCTCAACATGTTGACATATGGTAAGAAACCTCATTTAAAGGGATACTGTTTACCTCAGTTATTTAACTAAAAGGTTAATAATCAGAAAACATAACTAAGTATATATCAGGCTATTCTTAAGAGTACATAATTCAAAAGTATTTGAACCTTTGGGAGAAAATAGTAAATAATATTATCAGAGAACAAAAAGGAACCAAAGCTGATTATGGATCACTTCTCAATTCAGGAGGAAATCCTCTAAATCAGGTGATAATATCCCACCCTTCGGTGCAATCTAATTTGTAAAGTGAATATCCCAGTCAATAATTGGGAAAAAAATGCAACTATCTTCAGAAGTCTTTGCTTTATTTAGAAATATGTCATAAAATTTAAGCAGGATCTTATTTCAGAATTTGTCTTCTTAATTAAACAATAATTATACTCAGCAAAAACCAAAATCATTACACTTATTAAACATGTGTAATGATTTTGTTCTTTGCTGAGTATAATTATGCATTCAAGAACTGGGGTAGTAAGCACAGGATGGGTTTGAAGACCCTTTATAAGATGAAAAGGACTGTGGCTCAGAGGTAGAGCATTCGCCTAGCATGTGCGAGGGCCTCAGCACCACATAAAAATAAATAAAATAAAGATATTGTGTCCAACTACAACTAAAAAATAAATATTAAAAAAAGATGAAAATGACTAAAGCTTCTGACCTAACTGGTGGCCCACAGTAATATTTTAGGTCTCCTGGAATATCAGTTCAGAGTCATTATCTAGTAAGCCCAACAAAATCTGATTATTTCCTTTTTGCCAACACACACTCACCTTAGTAGAAGATAGTAGATGAGTGTGCCTTGGCAATGCCAAAAGAAATATTAACAGCTACTCTGTATGGGATTATGAACCAAAATTACCAGTACATGAAATGCTATGAGTTCAGGGATATTAGAGGTTTATACATACAGAGAGGTTGGCAGATCTCATAAAGTCAATTTGAATTTTACTTTAAAAAATGGAATTTTGGTTAAGTAAATGAGAAAGTACACATTATTTAATTTAAAAAAGCAGCATGGGGGCTGGGGATGTAGCTCAGTTGGTAGAGCACTTGCCTAGCATGCACAGGGCCCTGGGTTCAATCCCAATGACCATCCCCAAAAAAGGGCAACATGGCCACCAAACTTGAGTCATTAATAAGCAGGCATGCTGGAGAATGAAAAAATATCAGCCAAGGCTTTGAAGGCTCCATTGAAGGCTAGTATTACAGGTTGGATGAAATCAAATAATAGGGATCATTAGTAGTTCTGGGAATGGCTAATTGGATTAAGTAACTTTGAGTGTAGCATGAAGTTAACATAGAAAATGAAAAGATAGGAAATGCATATGAAGAAGCCAGTGCAGAGTAAAGGATGAGAGATGGTTGGTTACCAGGCGTCTGAAGTTTAGGAAGATCAAAACACTGGAAAAGCACCTTACATAAACTTTTAAAAGTCAACAAATTAGTGAAATAATGCAGGTAATATCAGAACCAAATAATAGATGTTTGTACTTTATGGGTCTGAGAAAGTTGGGATATAATGATAAAGATACAGCAAGTGTTGGGTATGTGGAGTAACAGAGTATCTAGGAAGATTGTCTTATGGGCACATAGAAGTGTTAGAGTTCATGGCTGGAGGGTTATTACCACACTCTGGTTAGGGGAAACATTAAAACTTTTTCAATTCACTGAGAACAAATGAAGATGTTCTCTATTGAGGAGGAGGAAAACTAAGCAAAGGGAACAAAATGATATGACTGCAGATTGAAAGAGAAGCATGGCATTCTTTGGCTGTGCAGAAGCTGGGGAGGAGAGAGAGGGTATCGGGTATGTAGAGAGCTCTGCGCCACAGCATGGAGATTCTGGCTTCTTTCTTTATAAATATAAATGAAAGATGATGTATTAAGAACTGTGTAATGTTTTGAACGACCAACAATAAAAAAAAAGTAAAAAATAAATAAATAAATAAATAAATATATCTGACTCTCTCTCTCTCTCTCTCTCTCTCTCTCTCTCTCTCTCTCTCTCTCTCTCTCTCTCTGTCTCCCCTCCTTGTTTTATTTTCTGCATTACCCCTTCTCATGTTCTCAACTGCTTCTAAGTCACTTTGTATCCCCTTCCTCTCAGCTTCTTCACCTGATTTTACCATCAGAGACATCTGATATAGTTAAATAATTAATTATATTTGTTGTACAAGTTTATGGGTTTTTTTTATTTTTTATGAGCAAGAAACTATTTTTCATAATATGGGTATACATTTGGCTACATGCACTCAACACAGTGTCTGGCAAACAGACCTCCTTTATATATTTGACTAGGCGATTAATGTTCTATATTTATTTTTCATGAATTGATAGCTTTTCAGATTTAAAAAATTTCTTATTCTTCCAAATCATCAAATATTATTTATCATTTAAATAAGGTAATTAATTGTCATTAACTGGCAGCCTCTTTTTTTAAGATGAATATTAAATACTTTCAATTTTAACCAAATTTTTTTCTTTTATTTTAAAGTCACTTTAGGTTATCTTGAAGTCTGGAAGGCCCAATAGCAGTGACCTAAATATTCCTTCAATTGCTAAAAGTTTACTTAACTCCATCATAAATCCTACCCAAATTTTCCAGTTTTTATTAATCATACCACATTTTAAATGCCTGTATCATTTATTATTGAGTCTTAATTACATGCTAGTTATCATAATGTATGTATGTAAGTATTGTTTCTTTCAGAGAAGATAATAATTTTTTTTATAATCTTTTTAAAATTTTTTTTATAATTTTTAAAATTTGTTATTTAATTTATTATGGTTCACTATATGCCAGCTACAGGAATACAATGTAAAATTGAATAGTCTCCACCTTGCTCAAGATCTGAAGTGAGAAGTAAATGATTAAATAGATAAATAAAACCTGTGGATGGGTATGGATACACTAATGGCAGTGGAGAAATAGAGCAGAAAACACAAAAATCTACGTGGGAAGGACAAGGAAATCTTTCTGAGAGGTAAAATTAGAGCTTCCTGTTGAAGGAAGTAGGAATTCATCAAAGATGAGGAAGGAAAAGGATTTCCTGGGAGAGAAACAGCACATAGGCAAGTGCAGAGGGAAAACACTGCATTTGGAGAGCTATGCATAGGTGGAGAGGATATTTTGTTTCTTTAAAAAGACATATTTAGGTCTTAAAAACCACCTAGTTTGGAAATGTGCTGCTTGTTGGTTGCCAGTTAATGAGAATTTAGTGTTGTTTGCAAGCCAAATCTTTTTTTTTACGTTTTTTATTTTCTTTTTAGATAGAATGTATTTTGACATATTATACATACATGAAATACAACTTCCCATTCTTGTGATTGTATGTATTGTAGGGTTACACTGGTGGTATATTCATATATGAACATAGGATCCAAGCCAAATCTTAACACAGGCCTGCCTGCAGAGATATTTGAAGGGATGGAGCAAAGAGAGGGCACAAAAGAAATGAAACAACCTGTGATGGCTTAGTCTTGATAGAGTAAGCTTGCTTTGGGAAGAAAGTTTAACAGCATAGTTGTCATCTTTAGAACATAGTTGAAAAGGGTCATGTGACCAAATGAATAGTGGGGTAATTCAGAGAATAAATCAAAAGCTGTAAGAACCAGAGCCTCAGGGACAGGAAACCATGAAGGTGACTTTACCTAGGCTCTACATATATATAAGAAGTAAAAACAGGACATGCTGCTTCCGGCTTAAGCTTCTTAACTTCAACCTTAGGATAATAAGGTGTTTGTGTTTGTGGTTTTTTGTGTTTTTTTTTTTTCCCTGATTTTAGCAGAAGAAATATATTCCGGAGAGCTTCCAGGAAATGTTAGTGTTATAAGAGTAAAAATGTAGAGTAGAAGGAATGAAGTAGCATATGATTCAGTTGAAATAGAAGTTGAGTAGCAAGTTCTTTTTATACAAACCTTTAAATATACAAACCTTTTGTATATTTATACAAACCTTTTGTACAAACCTTTATACCAACCTTTTGCATAACTTTCTTTTAGTTTTATTAGCATTTATATTGGCATTTTTTAAAAATCTATTTTGTTTGGACAAAGAAAAATCAGTTGCTACCCATGCTAGTATCTTCTCTCCCTTGAGGAATGCAAAGATCCTCCACTTGTACTTTATGCCCCTCCCATTTCCCACTTGGGGGTAATCTGAGGTAACAGTGAACCTGATAATATTTGCAAAGCACAAAGAAGAGGCAAAAAGGTCCAATAGAAATCCTTGTGAATAACTCTTTGTGATTATCTTAATTATCTTGGTGATCAAAAGAAAAAAAGGATCTCATGAAAGAGGTAGAAGAATAAATGCTATAGCAACAAAGTGGTGAAGTGCTTGAGAGAGTTATTCAACTGAGTTAGAGAGGATGGTACCCTCTATAAGCCATTTGATTTGATAGCTGGAAAATTAAGATGATCTTGAAGAGAGCTCTTTCTGTGGAATATATAGATTACTATATTCCAAGGGGAGATCATGCTAAGAAAATCCTGTCCACATGTGTGTATAATATGAGGCAATGATAAGTAGTGATCACTGCTTTCAAGAAATACCAAACACAATAGAGGACAGATAATAAAAAGGAAAGTTCATTCTAGATGGAATAAGCAGATTAAGTCCCTGAGGAAGAGATTGTTGAAAAGATCTAATGACTTGTAAAGATAGGGGGATAGGAGAAAAGTTTTTAAAGAAGGTAGCCTAGAAATCAAGAACCTCTGACTTAAGAGAGAGAAAGAAGGCAAGGATGATTCACCAAAGCAGAAGGAACGAGACACAGACCAGATATCATGCATAGCCTGCTTGGGCATGGAAATAAGTTTCCATTTCATTTTGAGTATAACATGAAGTCTTTGGAATGTTTTGAACAGGCATGAACTCATTTAGATTTTAGAATATCACTAACTTGAAAAGTATTGACTGAGTGAGCTGGGAAACCCACTGAAAGACTTCAAGCAGAGCGGCCATATGAACTGACTTGTGTTCTATGGGAATCACTCAAGCTCCTCTGAAAAAGTGACTGCAGGGTTATTGGAATGAAGCAGCAGCATCAGGAGCTTTCAATAACAGTGCAGGTGGTGAATGATGACTGGTAAAAAGTGGTTGTATTTAAGATATTTTTGGAATTTGAGGAAGGCTTGAAACTTATACAGTTTAGGGGGACTACTCTATGAAAAAGAATAAAAAAAATATGAATAGAATTAGGTCCAGGACTAAGGATGTAGCTCAGTAGTAGAGCATTTGCATAGCATACCTGAGGCCCAGATTTATTCCTCAGTACAGACATCACAGGGAAAAAAAAAAAATGTTAGGTTCTCATGTGAATATTTAGAATAAGAAGTCATAACAGATTACAATTTTTAAGTACCAGAAACTTCAGAAAACTAAGAGTATTATTCCTTCACTGCCTGACTCGACATGTAATTGCCCTCTTCCATGTTTGGGCTACAGACTCCTTGATTGCTCTGTCACATGACCACCAATCATATTGAATTTTTAATATCAGTGAATTAGAAAACTTTCTTTTACCCCACAGTTAGCTAATGAAAGTAATGTGTCTCTAATGTTTCTTATAATATTCCTCAAGCGCTCTTTCTTTTCTGCAAGGATACTTCGAATCTGTGGTTCCCAAACTTTAGGGAGCATCAGAATCTCTGAGTCCTTGTCAAAATACAAAATTGCTGGGCCATCCCCACAGTTTCTGATTCAGTAGGTCTGGACTGGAGAGCGGTCCAAAAATCTGCATGTCCCACTTGCCATGCGGTACTATCTCTGCTAGCCTGAGGACCTTATTTTAAGAACTTCAGCCCTTTTTTCCTCCCTCTTGCCTTGGATTTCCTTTTGTTCAGATCCTGGTACTCAAGGATAAAGACAGAATGTACCTGCTCCTTGACGTGACCAGGGCACGTTGTTCCTGGATGATGAACAGATGTGAGGTGACGCTGGCAGCACATAAGCCTCACCTGGAATCCCCAGGATTACCACCACTGGTAGCATCTTGGACTCCAGCATGCTGTTAGAGTTACTGGTTCCATTCTCCCTGTTCCCTACTTTTGATCGGTAGAGAACAACCCATTAAGCCATGAAAGGATAAGCTTCATTACCTTTATGGTAAATTTGACTCTGCAGCCAACTGTAGGATTTGCTGATGGGTTGAATGTGGAATATAAAATAAATAAATATTAAGGATGACGTCTAGGTTTGGGGCCTGATTGATTAGGGCATGCTCATGCCATTTACTGGGAGTTACCGATTGGAAGATCCATGAATTTTATTTGTACTAGTGTTTTTGTGACTGTTATGCCAGATTACCACAAATTTAGTGAATTATAGCAACAGAAATTGATTTGCTCATGCTCTACATGCCAGAAGCTTAACAGCAGCATCATTGGGACAATGATAAGGTGTGTGTAGGGATGTGATCCCTCTAAAGACTCGAGGAGAATTGACCTGTTGGTGGCTGCCCAAGGTCTTTGACTATAGTTGCACCACAACATTTTCTGCCTAATTTTACATTTCTCCTATGTAAATCAAATCATATCCCTCTGCCTCTCATAAGGATATTTATGAATAGGTTAAGGAATCGTCCAGATAATTTCCCTAAGTCAAGATCCTTCATTGCATCTGCAAAGGATCTTTTTCTTTAAAAAATAACAGTTTATAGTTTCCTGGGATATAACCTCATACAACTAAGAGGCCATTATTCATCCGACTACCACATGTGAGTTTGAGATTCCTGATACATTCCAAAGTGGAGATTAGGATGAATTTAATAGTGGGTGATTAAGAAATGGGGCAGTATAGGAAAGAATACTTCCAAATACTTCCGTAAGAAAAAGTGAAAATAATGAAAAGTTGAAAGCATACTGAAAGTCTGAAGCGTATTAAAATTGTGTTTACATAATTATGAACAAATGCAACATACTGTCTTTCAGTGTAAATTAGTAGAGGGCAGGGATAAGGTGAGGTAAGCAAACTCTGTAGAAGGTCTGGTGTTCCATAGGAATAAGAAATACTAAGTGCATTAAAAGTCAAAGTAAGTAAAGACAAAAGAATCATAATGAGATGTATTTTTCAGATTTTCTCATGCTATTTATTATTTTACCAGACAAGCTTGAATTTAAAAACTTGGTATAATTGTATGTAAGGAGGCAAATGCTACAGAAGTCAAGGTCACCTTGGAAAGTCAAAGAACTCATGTTCTGAAATGTAAGATACATAGACTTTACCTGGAAGAGAGTTTTCAATATTAATGCTTGGAATAATGAGACAAATCCCTGATTCTGCTGTGGTTGCTTAACCACATGATGTGTTCTATAGACCTACACCTGTGCATTTGAGAGTGGAACTGTATCAGAGCTGTAGAAAGGCATTTTATATAACAACATATATTGTTATATAAATAGTCAATGAAGAATTCCATTTAGAAAATTATGATCTACATTTGTGGTTAAAAAAAATCAGGGTTGGTTTTATTGCTTCTGTACTATTCTAATAATAATTAAGTTGAAAATATAAAGTGGTTTTATATGAAGAAAAATAACACAAAGTTAAATATCTCTTTTCATTATTATAGATCAACTAACCCATATCTTGCTTAGCAGATACCAAAAAGAAATTCTAGAGTTTCTAGAATTTTCTTTTTAGGGTACATGAGGTAATGTAAAATTTCTCACTAAATGTTTAGTGCTGTAATTTCTGCATGATATTTCTTTTTCTGATTTACTTGAATAACATTTTAGTTTTGCCTTGAAAAGTATTACTTAAAATATTTGTGAAATACTTCCTACTGGTTCAAAAAATAGCTCTTTGGCTCTAAATAAAAACTTTTATTTCTGACTTAAATGGCAAATCAGCATGGTTCAAGGTGTAGTTATGACATCTAGCTCTCAGTTATGAATTCTAAGCAATGAAAGAATTGGGTATTCATACTTTTGTAATTGATTCTAAAATACCCAGAATGTATAAGAATAAGGCAATGATGATGTTAGTAATTAATTTTTAAAATTTTTATAGCAAACTGCCAACAAGAAATACTGTAGTCAGTTGGACATCCAGCAGAAGGGATCATCTTATTGGCTTGGTGGCTCAGAAGTCCGAAGAGCAATGGACATGTTCAGTCTGTACGCTAATAAATAAGCCCTCTGCTAAGGCATGTGATGCTTGCTTGACCTCAAGGCCTATTGGTAAGACCGAATTTTGATTTCTAATTCATTGCATTTCCAAAAGGGTCATTTATACAACGTTAGGTACATATCTCGCTTCATCTTGATATTCCATCACTAAGTCAAATGCTTTCTTTCTCAAAGGTTTAAAGGAATTGCCATCCTCTGCATGTAAACCATGCCAATATTCTGTTGAATATTTTTTATAGGGAGGGAAAACATGCTTGTGCTAAAACAGTATGTGCCTTTGTATCTCAAAAAACTGAGATGATCACATCTGTTCTCTACTGTTTCTAATGAATTATTCAATAAAGCTTTGTTTTATGCAGATTTCAGCAACTTTCAAGTTTGTTATTCAGTCCAAGTGTTTCATAAATTGAAAGGGAGGATTTCTGTAAGAATATCTTTGCAGGTGGAATAGAAAAATGCTGAATTTTTTCTCTTCTTTATCCTTCCTACCCTTGTTATTAAAATCTTTACCCAGACAATTGTACTGATTTCATTGAAATCCTTCAAAATAACTCTTTATAGCTCACAATTTCATGCGTTCAGAGAATGTAAAACCTCAGAGGAAACCTGTGATTAAGAACCATCTCATTGATGCAGCTTCTATTGTGTTCTCAAAGTGTTATTTCTTTCTTTCAATTAGAGATGAGAAAGTTCATTCTTGACTTAAAGACCTCTACATTGTGTTAGCTGTCATATTGTGTTTTGTTCCCTGGGCCTGCAAGGCGGGCATCACCCCTTGCACAGCTTTGCTAATAGCTGAAGGGACTGCGCCTCCTATTTCCATCCCTCCTTCTTCAGTATCATGCAGCAGAGCACCCTCAGAAATCCAGTCTTAGATCTCCACATTATTTCAACATTCTCAAATGCCTTTACATATCTCACTGTTTTTGTGTTAATTTTTTTCTGAGTATGAAAGACATATATCCTTAAATACAATTTAGAATATAGTACAAATTCCAGAATCCCAGGATATTTTGTTGAAATGTTTTATTTGATAAATATTAAGTCTGTGTGATTCATGTTTACTTATTCTAAATAAGCCTTGTCATTCACAGAAACATTACTGGTAGTCCATACTACAGAGTCTTCTGTTAACTTAAAGCTTTATGAGACATCTTCTCTTAATTACTACTGCTTTAATGCTTCGTCTAATATTAACAGAACTGAGAGCTGTATAACCTTTAAATGATTAAATATAAAACACTGCAAACAAAAATCTTTGTTAACTCCATATCTGGGTCCCTATAGGTTGTTAATATTTTGCATTTTAGATAAAACTTCACTTCCTAACCAGAAAACGATTATAACTTGCCCAACCTAACTTTGCCTTATTAGTTCTAATATAAGTTCACTGCAATAAAGTGAACGAAATTTTCTAATCAAATGAAAAAAAGATGTTTCAAATAGTCAATATATTATATTTTTAGGAATACTGCAGAATTACTTATCTCTTCTTTCAGATTCAGTGCTCAAGAATGAAGAAAATACCATTGTCTTTAGCAACTTGATTAAGTATCCTTGTAATAGCTTTGGAAACACACATACAGAAGTAAAGATCAACAGGAAAACTGTATTTGGAACTACAACTCTTGTCTTAACTGATTTTAGCAATAAATCCAGTACTTTGGAAAGAAAAAGAAGCCAAAACCAGGTACTAGACGGGGAATTTCAAAACTCTCTTCCTACAAATGTTTGTCTTAGTGATACACAGCACCCCTCCAAGGAGAGAACAAACTATATAACTCAACTATCTAACAAAGTAAACATATCACCTTTGGTCTGCTCTCAGTCTGAATTATTTAGTCCAGTACATAAAAAATTGAAAACAACCCGCCACTCGGAACCAGATCTCAAAAGTTGCAACCCTGGATTTTCTAACAGGTATGATGCTTCTAACCTTTGTCTTTAAGATATTTGAATTCAGCTTTGTTTAAGGTATTTTTGAGATCTTTGAGGTATTTGTACTGCATTAAGTTTTTAGAAGGCAGAAAAATCATCCATTGCTAAGAAAGTTGAATTGATTTTGGATAAGTCAAACACTGAAAAACCACTGTAGTAATTTGGCTGCTTTCACTTCTCTCATTTATAATGCTAGAGAAGGAAAGGAAATAAACAGATTTCCAACACCTATAAAAAGTTTTTTTTTTACCATGACCATGTGCATGCTTAATACAGAATATTCAGAAAATATCATAAGTATAAAGAAAAATGCTTAAATTGCCCATAATAATACCAGTTACCAATAACCCCTTTAACATCTTTTTATATAGAATACTTCTCAACTGACAGTGAGTTACATCCTGCTATCCCCAGCATAAGTTGAAAATGTCTTAAGTCAAAAATGCAGTTAATATACCTGCTAAACATCAATCATAGCCTAGCAGCATAAGGACACTGAGTATTGGTTGTTTCCCCTCACGGTTGTATAGCTGACTGGGAGCCGTGGCTCACTGCTGATGTCCAACGTCAAAAGAAATTGTCTTGCTACATATTACCAGCCCAGAAAAAGATCAAAATTCCAAATTTGAAGTATAGCTCCTCCTGAGAGCCCACTGCTTTCACACCGTGGAAAAGTTGAAAAATTCTAAGTGCAGCCATCATAAGTTGAAGACCATCTAAATTTCCCTACAGTGAAAAAGTAGTACTGGAAAAGACACTTTTGTAAAAGTTTAGTAAGTGGCCTCTATTTTAGAAACAGAAATCTGAGATACCTTTAGTGATGTTTCTGTTAAAGAACATAGTTGTATCTCACTCATCTATGTAGGATGGTATTCTCTATTTCATCCAAAAAGTCCCAAAAAGTATTCATGCTGTTTTTATATCTGAAATGAAAATTGTAATTCCCGTTTATAAATACTACCTGATTGAATGTGTTTTATGAGACTACCAGCTCCATTTCCAGAAAACTTCAATTGCTGTTAACCAAGATGCAGAAACTTGAATAAATAGTGTTATCTCTTTTCTCAATAGTAGCAGCTCCTTAATATTGGGACAATCTTCTGTTGGCCCTCCTTCCCCCATCTCATTTCCTCCCTTTTTATCTGGGATTCCTAATCACCATGATATGAATTTATACCTCCATCAGAAAGAGATATTTGCCCACAATTTTGTTTTCCAAACTGCTTCTTTTTCATCAGGTACCATATATCCAGCATTTTGTGAATGCAGGATATTCTTCGCATGCAATGGGAGACAGAATTATTTTGGGGTGAATCTAAAGTAAATCTGGGTGGAATTCTGATTGCTAGCTTTTCCTAAGATTGCTGTGCTTTGCTAATAGGAAGATTACCTCCACTGGGCAGTGGATAAGTGGTTCTCCTAGACCAAAGTCTGGGAATTCTTAAAGCTTATTTCATAATATTTCTGAGACAGCTTTTGCTCAATACATGTATTCAGATCAAGTTTCCTATCACAACTTTAAATTTATAGCACTTAATCCCAATGATTTATTCTTGACTTATTTTTCAAAATACTTTCATTCATAATCTCTTATGATAACTGATTTAACTTCTGTCCATGATACTTACATTTGAATTAAGCTATAGTGGGCAAATTTTTAACTTGCTGGGTAAATACAATATCTTTTCACTTTAACCTTTATTAGTGCCTCAATGATGGAAATTATGGAGGAATTAGTTAAGAATATCTGAATTGAGAAGCTATTCTGTAGGAGAAAATCATTTTGAACAGCTTTTCTGTTCTGTGACTTAAGTGAAAAGAAGTAGAAGTGATCATTTTAAAATATTGTGTCATTCGTTGTACCCAGATGAAATATCTTGGCATATTTTTATTTCCTTAGTGCTTTAAAAAAATCTTAAACAATTTAGCTAATGAATCATAGATTTAAAAAAAACATTAATGTAACCTTAAATTTAAATGATATCTTCATAAGCCATTAGTAATAGAATTACATGATTAATCACAGTACACAGTATTACTTAGAAATGCTGCAGCCATGTGAATCTATTGAATATAGGAACACCAGGACTGAAACTCCACAATCAATCAAGATCAACTAGCAGAATAAATGTCAAGTGATGAAATAAATTCACCCAGCAGCCCTTCTGCACCCAGCTACTTTACAAGGAATAAATTGCAAATTACTGTCATTTATTTCATTTTTCTCCTTGTCTGGCAACTACAGTGTTCATCTTGTGGACAAGACACCTAGCAGAAGCTCACAACATAATACTATTAAAGCAGGTGGTCCACTCAGAATTTATACCAAGTTAAATTTTTTGTTAATAATTACAGGGTAATTAATTTGGCTTTTGTTCTCTTAATTACTAGTCTCATCATCGCACTATGCATGCCATGTTGATGAGGCATATTTTTGGATCAGTCTTTAAATGTACTTGAATGTTATCCAGCTCCTGAATTATAAATTAGATAACTGATCAATTTTTAAGCAGTTAAGAATAACTACTATAAACAGTTCTAAATCTTTGATGCAATTATTGTAAATAGAGAGCAAAATACAGTGATATATTCCCAAAGTCACCATGTGTTCTAGGTTGAAATTTTTCTTGAACTGATGCAAAGGATGATTTAGAAGAGTGAAATGACATTGTCAAAATTATTAGCATTTTCTCACTGCCATCAGTGGTGTGGAAGGTCTATCTCTAATCACCGGTGCTAGCACTAACACCTCGTTCTAGATTCCAGGTCATCCTTTGAAGTTTTCTCTCCCTAAGGATTGCAGAATCACAGACAACTCAGGATAAGTCATTTACTTATTTTCTGTTTGTTTTAATCCTTGAAATAATCTCAGATGACAACATCTACATTCAATTGCACTGATTAATTGTAAATTTTTCAAATAGCATCTTTATTTATATATAATTTTATATATAAATAAAGTTTATATATAAATAAGATGCTATTTGAAAAAGATCTCCAGGTTAAAGCAAGTAGATTAGAAAATGTTGAATAAATTGTTATTAAAGATGTCTGCCTTTAAAATTATATATAAAACTAAGGATTTTTAAAAATCAACATAAATTTAAATGAATTTTATATTCAGCAAATGAATTTTAAAAGAATTGAGTAGTTGCAACAGAGAACACAAGACCCACCAGCCTAAAATGTGTTACCAGAAAAGGTTTGCCACTCCTGATATATTATGCCATTTAGACATCCATATTCAAAATGATAGACTTAATCATCAAAATCAACTATTCTCTATGCTAAACTTACCTATGAAAATGCTTAGCTACATTTTAGAAAGTTTTAAAATAATGCTTGAAGCAAAGAGGAACCAAGATGTCCTCAATTAAGCAGAATATTTAATTATCCTAGATAATGTTTTCTATCATAAAATTAAGATTAGCTGTGCATATTTAGAGCCCATGTGATTGTGATTGCAGGTGGCATGCAGGATGTTGGTTACATTAACTCCATGCTTGAAACTTAATGTGCATATGAATCACCTGGGAAACTTGTTAACATGTAGATTCTGATTCCTTAGGGTTCTGGAATAGGGGCAGTTAATTCTGGTAAATCTAAGGAGCTCCAGGTGAGGCTGATGTTTCTGGGCAGTGAAACACACTCTGAGTACCAAGGCTAGGATAGCATATGACTAGTTTTTCCTTCAACTTGATACCAAGGAGGAAACAAAATGGAAGACAGAAATGAACCAGAGGTAAGACTTTGAGGCCCCTCTTTCCTCCTCAATCCTACCCTCCACTTTTGCCCCTCTCCTCAGAGAAGCTTTAAGAGTAAACAATGTCAGCCTTTCCTGGGGTGTGTGGAACCCTGGAGATCTCCAGGTTAAAGAAAGTAGATTAGAAAATGTTGAATTAATTGTTGTTAAAGATTATATATAAAACTATGTTTTACATGTGTATATTTTAATAAGCATCATTTCACTCATTGCTAGTAATCTTAATTGTTTTTCTTTTTAAATTTAAAGAAAAACACTATGAAATCTTTTTGATTTTTAAATCTATCGACTTTTCTTACACTGTCTAGATATTCACCCTCTATTCGTGTTAAAATTTTAATGTCACCTCTTTTGGAGGCATTTTGTCAAATGGAAGGTTATGGAAAAGAAAAGCTCATTACTTCTCAGCTTTGTTTTTGTTGTTGTTGTTTTTTGTTTGTTTCTTTCTTTCCATACTGGGGATTGAACTCAGCTGTGCTCTTTCTAATTTGATATTATGCGTCTCAAATATAAGCCACCACCCCTACCCTGGAAAATATGCCAGCAAAGTAGTAACTGGTTAAATATCTGAAATGGTTTCCTTAGTATTACCCATAGTTACTTTCAGTTTACAAATGACTGCCATAGGAACACCTTCAAAAACTGCTCTCAGAACGTTTAAGTCCATCCCAGCAAACATTTTTAAAGCAATATATGTAAGCATCAGTTTTAAAAGTAGGTTTAAACAAATTTTATCCCAAATAAAATATCATGTTCTCTGAACATTTCAATTAGGATGCCTTGAGGCACTATTATAAAATCCGGTATCTGAAAAATGCAATTTAGGAAGCAGGTAAAAAAGAAAACTGATTTTTTAATTTTTTTTAAATAATTTAAGAATGATATTTGTTTTTCTTTAGAAATTTCCTCCCAAATAAGAAAGGATGTACTGTTTAACCTTAAAAAGTTAAAAACTTTTAGTTTTGTTGGATTATTTGTTTTGTTTTGGGTGCTGGAATGAACCTAGGGCTTTGCACATGCTAAGCATTGACACTGCTTCTGAGCTATACCCCGAACTCCTGGTTTTTATCAATGTGAACACTTTTTCTTTTCAACTGGCTTATTAAAAGTCTATTATAAAGGCATGACGTAAAATATGCAAAACATAGAAAATTAAAAATAGCGAAGCTCTTTTTCAGAGAGAAAATTCTGCTTATACAGCTAGAGTACAAGGTCAACTCCTCAGCTTTGTTCAGCGAATACAGGAATGACCTCCAAATACTCTTGATTCTAATTGTGGGGGAGATAAAGCTTCCCTACTAGCTTCACAAAATACACATTTCTGCTCTTCTAGGCAGCCTGTTTCTTGCTAGAATATGATTGCAACTATTATAGTAGCCTTGATCAAAGAAAAGCATAGAAAATTGTCTTTAAAGTGGACAGTAGAAAGAGTGTCTCTTTGGCCTTGTCAGAGCCATTGATGAGAGTTTCTACCAATGAGAAAATAATTAGAGAAGATTGTGACTCTGCTTGCTTTATGGGGCAAGGGCCAGCTAGACCTGAGAATATTTTAGAGGAAATAAAACTGTCCACACTGAATACTGGGTAAAAGAAAACTGAATATCAGAAAGAGAACTTAAAATTTAATGTAATGGATACATAACAATTCAGCTCTCTTTATTCTTCAGAAATTTAATTTCTGTGCTTTAGATACATAGGTAGCTTGAGAAGTGAATTAGAATTACCTTGGAAAACAATTTATAAGGCAGTTTGTGCAATTATACCTAAAGTTCATGGTGACCTACTTTTTGATAGAACTCTGCTTATAGGAAAAAATTATAACAGGTACAAGTAGAATGGTGTGAATGATCCCCCTACCACTTTTGCTGTAATTATTTCATGACCTGTCATTACAGTGAACTCCAAACAAATATGACAGCTGGTCCTTGTACCTTAAATAATGGCGGCCCTCGATGCAGTAAACACAACCTCCGCTGTGTTCTGCGAGTTGTGAGGAAGGATGGTACAAACAAGGGAAGACAGTTTTATGCTTGTCCTCTGCCTGGAGAAACAAAATGTGGATTTTTTGAAGTAGGTATAAGATTTATCAAGCTTACTATGTGTGTCATTGAATTTTGGTTATTAAAATGTAACAAACAGCAATGCTCTTTCAGTTTTACCTTTATATTTTAGCCATATTAGTATTCAGTCTAAAATCTGAATGTTGAATAATTTAAAATTCAAAGAGGTTCAGAGAAATAATAATAGAGAAATAATAGCTATTAGACTATCAGAGTATATCATATTTGTAATCACTAGCATAAAAATTTTGCCCTTGGTTCACAAAGATGGAAAGGTATTGACTAACAAGTACTGGTATACTCATGTGGTTAATAATCCAAAATAAGAATTTGCTCTTTCTAACGTCAGTGTTCTATCAAACTTTTGGATTCATTAGACAGCGGTACATGAGGAAAACAATGTATATGCCTTGAATTTACAATAACCTTAGTGAACACCACTACACAAGTTTGACCAAGGGGGAAAAAAAGAAAAAGATGATAGCACTAAAATAATTTTGTTGTATTCCTTATGACTTTCCAGTCTATGATTGTGTCCTTGAAAAATGAATCTGAATAGGAGACACTAATATGTATTTCCTTCAGTCAGTCTCACTTTCTGCATTTCTCTCATTATGAGACTCACAGGCATAGTGTGAATCTAAAACTTAAAGGCACACACTTTTCCAAGTTACACTTCATCTGATATATAACTGAAAAATGAAAATACTGACCTATTTCAGTGCTGGAGCAAAAATTTTCTAGTTGGCTTATTAAAAGATAAAATATCTGTCTTCAATGTCTTTCCTTCTTAAGAATTTCCTAGGAAAATTTGATAGTGATTTTTACACCTCTGAACAGAATGTAACTCTATTCTCCTAAATCCATAAATTTTCTCCTCAAGAAGCTTTTAATAGATATAATGGAAAAAATAATAATAGCAGTAATATAACATTCCTTCATACCCCTCTTGAGGCCCAAATAAGAATAATACAATGGAACCTGCCTAATTTGGGTATGTTCCTATTGCAGTCTTTCTTTTCCTAAGAGACTCAGGAAGTTTAGCATTAGTGTTATGACAAATATTGGATCTTGTGATTTTTAACTTCAACTATAAGAGGGAACTCTAGTGATTACTTTATTACAAGATTCTGATAGTTTTCAATTATTCTTAATAAAGGGAAAGGGTTTATATATCTTCAGATATTTAGCAACTGTAAGCTCATAATTAAGACAATTTTCTGTGTGATTCAAACACGTGTAAAAGAGATGCTTCTTATAGGATAGAAACTTTATTTAAGGGCAACAAGTAATGGTTTATGTCTGTTTTACAATCAAATTAATAGCAATAGGAGTGAAGCCAATATGACACCAATCAAATGAGCCTCCGCCTGGTCTGTGCATCACAGTTACTTGCTCATAAAGTTTACACTCCTGTGTTTTTGTTGTTGTTGTTTCTCTAGTGGGCAGATTTGTCCTTCCCATTCTGCAACCATGGCAGGCGCTCCATCATGAGAACAGTGCTGAAGATTGGACCAAATAATGGAAAGAATTTTTTTGTGTGTCCTTTTGAGAAAGAAAAACAGTGCAATTTTTTCCAGTGGGCAGAAAATGGTCCAGGAATAAAAATTATTCCAGGATGCTAATATTTTCTCTTTCTGTAGAATATCTGACACTTAATCTTTTGAAATTTTTTTTTATTCTGATTTCTTTTTTTATATTGTCATAAAAATGCACTTATATACTTTGATGTATCATACATAGATTGGATATAATTTCTCATTTTTCTGAGTATACATATTATAGAATCACATTGGTCATACAGTCACATACATACATACAGTAATAATGTCTGTTTCATTCTACTATCTTTCTTATCCCCACATCCCCTGCCTTCCCCTTCTTTCACTTCCCTCTACCTAATCTAAGGTAAGGCTATTTTTTTTGCATTATAATTCTTAATATACATATATACCACAATTTTTGTATTTCTGTTTGTATATAAAGTATGTTGACACCCAATTCAAGTCTTCATACATATACTTTGTATAATGATGTCCATCACATTCCACCATCCTTACTAATCCCCTGCCTACTCCCTTTCCCTCCCATCCCTCTTCTCTATTTAGAATTTATCTATTCCTTCCATGCTGTCCATCCCAATCACACTATGAGTCAACCTCCCTATATCAGAGAAAACATTCGATATTTGTGGTTTTTGAGGATTGGCTGGCTTCACTTAGCATTATCTTCTCCAACACCATCCATTTACCTGCAAATGCCATGGTTTTGTTACTTTTTAATGCTGAGTAAAATTCCATTGTGTATATATGCCACAATTTTTATCCATTTAATCACTGAAGGACATCTAGTACATACAATCAATCAATAAATATATGAAAAAATGCTCATCTCTAGCAATCAGAGAAATGCAAATCAAAACCACTCTAAGATATCATCTCACTCTAGTCAAAATGGCAGCTATTATGAAAACAAACAACAATAAGTGTTGGCAAGGATGTGGGGGGAAAAGGTACACTCATACATTGCTGGTGGGACTGCAAATTGGTGCAGCCAATTTGGAAAGCAGTATGGAGATTCCTTGGAAAACTGAGTATGGAACCACCATTTCACCCAGCTATTCCTCTCCTCGGTCAATACCCAAGGGACTTAAAAATAGCATATTACAGGGACACAGCTACATCAATTTTTATAGCAGCACAATTCCTAATAGCTAAACTGTGGAGCCATCCTTTCAAACTTTTTAATAAGAAATGTTGTAAAATGCCTGTGGCATATGTAAATTAAGTATTTGCGGTATTTGAGAAGAGTTTTTTTTTTTAATGTGTATCTCCATCTATTCTGTGATTTTTTTTTCTTTTATCTTAATGAATGTACTCTGTTCCATCAGATGGGCAGCATATTCCATTTATAATGTATATTTAATGCATGTAATAATCACAATAAAGTTATCTTTAGTAGGCTCTTGGTCTCTTGAAACTTCTTTGAGGAAGCCTTTATTTTTTAGTATAAGACTGTGGAGCACAATGAAATAAAAAAATACTACATAATGAATATTTTCCCCAGGTATTACCAGTATTTCTTAAAATGATTAAAATAATTTTTTGTTTTTTTTTTAAACAAAAATCTAAGATTTGACATCTTCTCTATGAAAAAGAACATTTTATTCTGTTCAACAAACATTAAGTTCCTCTGAGATGCAAGGAAAATGCCAAACCCCTTTCTACCTTCAGGTGTGTTTTCATGGGAAGTTATTAGATGATAAAAGCAACATTTAAGAGCAGAAGTTGCTTATACATGTTTAAAAGAGAAGTAGATTTATATTTTTCTAATCTTTTAACATTTATTTCTAATAGAATTAAGTCAATTTCATATTGTTAATGTATTGCTACAGTTTGTGGATCTAAAGTGCCACCCACAGACTCATGTGTTAAGGCTTGGTCACCTGCCAGTGCTACTATTGAGAGGTGGTGGAACATTTGGGATGTGGGGCTTAGTGGTAGGAAGTTAGATCATAGGCATACCCTTGAAAGGGATGCTGGGATCCTGGTCCCTTCCTTCCCTTTCCATCCTTCTGCCATAAGGTGAGCTGCTTTGCTCCACCATGAGCTCCCCTCCATGATGTACTTTGCCATTGACCCCAATACAATGGAACCAACAGACACCGTAGACCGGAACTTATGAAACCATGAGCAAAAATGTTGATAGGAATTGCTGAAGTAGTCTCTCACAGTGTGAAAGAGACTTTGGGCTTACTCTGGGTATAGTATGAGCAAGTGAGAATTTATAGCCACAGCAGTGCAGGAAACAGTGAATATACTCAGAAGAAACATCAAGGGTAAGGATTCTTGCTAAAACTGTTTAACAAGATTCCTAATGAAGTCTGGGTAGGGTGATCAAACATCATGGAGTGGGTGGGGAAATGTGGAGGAGAAAGATGGTGGGTGGAGTATGGCCAAGCTGATCAGATAACAAAGGATGAAAGTGTTAGCTAAACTGACTGCAGAGTTTTTTGCTAAAACAAAAACAAAAGTGAAGAAATGTATAGTTGGGCCTATTAGAAGATTCAGAAGCCTGATTAAAGTTAGGCCAAGCAAAGAATCTCTATCATATGTGACCAATATTAGTAAAATTGACATAGGAAATAAAAGAGCAAATGTTCTATTTAGTTTTCCTCACAATGACATAAAAAAATGAAACCTCTTTCCTCTTTGGATATCATTACAGCACTTCATATCTTTTCTTTGGCTTATACCCACAGTCTGCCTATGATTGCTATAATCTACTATAAAGGATATATATAAATATATCTCCTATGTGTGTTTTTTAATATTTATTTTTTAGTTGTAATTGGACACAATAAACGTTTATTTTATGTGGTGCTGAGGATCGAACTCAGGGCCTTGCATGTGGTAGGCAAGCACTCCACTGCTGAGCCACAACCTCAGACCCACTATCTGTATTGTTTAGTGTTCTCTTTCTAAAGCATTATATATAATTTATTCTCCACATAATCCTACCAAGTATTATGCCTTACACAGCAGAAAGTTGGTATACATTTGTTGACTTCTGTAGTAGGTAAGGGTTTAATATGTCAGTCTATTGAATATTTTTAACCTTTTTACTACTGTTTGAGCGTGAATGCACTTAAATGTCTTTGAAAAGAGTATGGCTGATTTATTATGAAAGTGAAAGAAATTGCTCCATATCTAAAAAGCTGTTAAATTTTTCTAATTTAAATAAAAGTCTTCTTTTGTCATTTTATAGAAATTTGCTTACAAATGGACAGGTCAAAATCAAAGGAAAGGGTATGCCTTCACAGGAAAGCAAGATATGAAAATCATGCTGCATTACATCTACCCTAATAGCATGTTTAGATAGTTATTCCTCACAATGCCATAAATTTGAACCTCTTCATTTTGTATGAAAACAATGTAATTGGTTTAAATAAGCTTTTAATCAATTGATCTCTATTGAGGACCTACTATGTGAAAAATTCAGTGAAAGTAT